GGGAAAATAGCAACAGGAAAGAGGAAAACATCCTGAGTCTGTGACTCTATGACCATGGACAAATAAAAAGCTCTTACCCCACCTTCACACATCTATTTAGGCATTAATCTATTGCACATTTATTGAGAACCTATCACTTGCCAGGAGAGTCAGGGATTTCCAGGACAAGCAGCAACTGAGCAGGATCTTGCCAGAGACTTAGCAAGGAGAAAACAGCATTTCCATAGAAATTGAATTTCCCAACTTCAAAGCATCTTTGAAAAACACTGTGCTTCAACAGTCTGGAAACAGAAAGCACTTCTTTGAGCAGCAGTGGGCAGGAGGAGGAGGGTGTAAGGCCACGCTGGCAGCAGGAACTTCATGGGTGAAGGTCAAGGCAGGGAGCCAAGGGTGCTTTGGGAAGCCAAGTCCTGGAAGTGGCAGGGGCCTGCAGGGAGCAGAGACGCCATGTGTGCTTTGCTTGTGGATATTCACAGGAAGATTTTGATGTTGACCTGAGAGTCTCTGTTGAGTCCACTGGCCACCAGAGGCTCTCAGAGGTTCCCACTCAGGGAAGTGACTTTCAGAGGTTTTGTGTGTAATCAGAGCTTGGGGGTTGCAAGTGGGCTGTGCTGTGGGCAGGAACCAGTTAGGAGGCCAAAGAAATGATTTGGAGATGTTTGGCCAATCCTACAGTTGGGCAGCTATGGGACAGAGAAGGGACCAAGGGTGTTTCACTGGGCATTAGCCAAGTCCCTAGCCCCCAAGCTTTACCTACAGGTCTGCTGATACCTGAAATCATGGCATGCCAGGCCCAGGAGACTTGCTGATAATTTCACAGGAGCTCAAATCCCCAGCAGAAATGAAAGAGCTTTAAATTCAGTCATCGGTTAGAATGCATGCTTTCTATCCGTCCTAGTCCATTACCGCCCTGCACACACATAGGCGCCCGCACACACACTCACTCACACTCACACACATACACAGTCTTTGGGAAGCCAGAGGGCTGTGTTGCCTATTATTTAGTTTATAGAAGATCCGTGTGGTTTAAGTGGGAGGCTTTGGACAAATTGCATTTGAAATTGAAAGAAGCTGAAGCATCCAGACACATCATCAATTTAGGAAACCAACTTGCGCATTCCCTTGCTAGCAGTGCCCGTTTTATCCCACTGTTACTTAAAATAAAAGACCGCAAGCTGGGCAACTCTGAATTTCTCAGTCTAAGCTTTTGACAGAAAACTGAAAGATTCATCTGCAGAACTCTTTATTTTTCATCAAGACCCAGGGTTTTTCTTTCCCAGTGAATGAAGAGCATGTGTCTGAATAGCAAGCCGAGCCTCATTCTTTTCCTACCTACTCAACAGAACCCATTTGGAAACCAGGCTGGTTAATTAGGCTCGGATGGGCGGGAAGTGAAGGGCCTGGGCTTCTGAAGCCGGCGACTATGAAAGAGTTGCAGAGAAGGCCTGTTCCACCTCTAGAAAGAAAATAGGGTCTGAGAGTCTGAGAAAGTGTTAGGCATGAAGAATATGGAGCAGACAGCAGCTTCCTTGTGTCCTGTACTAACTGGGAGAGCATCATACAGAGAAACTTAGAGTAATTATGTTTATTGAGTGTATTATTACAAAACTCAGGAGGCACCCCTGGGAATCAGAGGGCCCCAATCTCTCGCCAAAGCAGGAAAAAATAAAAATATCTTTTTTCTCTGAAATGTCACATGGTAAACACCTCCCTTTGTATGACATGAATTCTTAGATTTCTCAGTATGTTACATGACAATCTGAGCTATAGAGCCATGTACCACAGAGCTGGGACCTTGTCTCAAACACTTCAGCAACATGTGACTTTGCCCAGGGAAAGCTGGCCCTTCTGAGACTCAGGCTCTTTCTTTATGTGTTGGAATAATAATAGCATCATCATCCTCTCAAAGGATGTAGTTTTGATTGCTGGGACAATGCATGGAAAATATTGAACATAGATCCCTGACTCTATATAAATGCACAACGAATCATAGCTAGGACAGTCATTGCTGTCTCCTTTTATTAAATTTGGAAAGATCAACTTAGAATCTCACCCTCATCTCTATGAAAAGAATGCTGGATATAGTCCTGCTTTTCAGTTCTAAGTGTTTAAAAATATTTCAAATGAAAGGCTGACTGGTGGAGAGGGGGAGGGAGGACTGCAGAATCTGGGAAGGGAAGACATCACAGATGGGCCATCAGGAGCCTCACAGAGTGTCACATCCAGAGGTACCTGCCAGCTCCACCAGGGAAGCATCTTCCATGAGTACCAGATGCTACTAATTGGCAAGGAATCCTGTGGCAGCCAACCAGAGAAGAGAACAAATTCTTTGTCACCACATGGCTGTTTTTTCTTTCCAAATGTTAACTCTTTCCAATAGTAGTACCAGAATCCACTTCCAACAGTGCAGGTCCACAATAAGGAAATTCTTCAGAAAGACAGTGGGGTGGAAGAAATATTTGTTTCGTTGATTATGCATCTTTGATTCTGATTATCTGATCTTCGAGGCTTTTGGCTAGGGAGGAGAACTGACAATGCTCTTTTCAAACTACTGTCCCAGTATGGGATTGTATGTCAGCTTCCCATCACTATGACAAAATACCTGAGGTTATTACCTTAAAAAGACAGAAGCCTCACTTTGACTCATGGTTTTAAAGGTTTCAGTTCCACATCTCCATTGTTCCAGGACCTGTGGAAGAATGGCAGAGGAAATCACTCACCTCATGGCAATCAGGCAAAAAAAAAGAACATCCTGGGAGGCTGAGCCTTGTCACAACGTGGGCTGGGAACCAAGCCCTTCTACATAGACTTTCGGAGGAACTTTCCAGAGCCAAACTATAGCAGGTCCTCGGAAGCTGGCTGCTTCCACTCTGCCTACTCCTCCCCTTATATCACTCTTTCTAGATTTTTTTTCTCCATTCAAAAATCTCCCTCTTTCAAAGACAAAAACTGGTCTCTTTCCCATTTGCTTGATGTTCCTACAGTCTCTGAAGAGTATCTAGAAGACTAGACATGCATGACCTGGACCCCAACTGCATTTCAGTTTCCAACCCTCTCAATTTACCAACCTCCAGTGAACCCCACCTGCTCCGGTCTACTCCTGCTGAGCCGGCTAGTGTCCCTCCCTTGGAGTCCTGCACACTCACATACGCACGACTTCTTGCTCATTTTGAGTTTTACTCACCTTCTGCAGGAGTGGATCTGACTGGGTAGAGAATATGGCAGCACACAGGCCACCCAAACTTCCACCTGTGACCACAGTGCACTGGCCATCTTTGTAAACACTGTCCTCCTGGCAACCACCAACACACATTTGTTTGCGTATTGTCTGTGACTGCTTCCACACAATTGTGGCAATTGAGTTGTTCCTACTGTGATCACATGGCCTGCCAAGCCCAAAATAGTCACCTTCTGGATCTTTTCAGAAAAAGTCACTACCCTCCATGTTTAGTGGGAAAAATACAAACCAAAGAGTGAGACAGATTTTCGAGTGAATCCAAGAAGGAGGGAGGACCTGTGGGAACACTTCCTTGCGCTACCCCTGAACTGTGGGAGAGTTGCCCCATCCCTGCTTCAAAGACCTGTGGGCTTTTCTCTCCAGAAAGGAGAGGGCAAACTTGTTTGACAGGGTGATCATAAAGATAGAATCAAATATACGGAAACATTCAAGTATAGCAGCTGGCTTAGTAAACATTTCCCTTTTTCTTTCCTCTCCCTGTCCTGACCTACGCTCCATTTCATCTCCTAAAATCCTTGGAAATCCACTCTATCTGACTCCATTGTTGAACCAACCCTGCAGCACTCCTTCATTAAAACCACACCTTTGGCCATGAGGTCAATGCACTTCCCCTCACTAAAATGCCAGAGCATTTCCTCTCTTTTGTATTTAGGACTGGCCACATGACTTGCTGTGGCCAACACCTGAGATGAAAGAGGTAGGGTCCCCATATTTGAGCCCAACCCTGAGTGTCATTGCCATGAAAAAAATCCCCCAGCTGACTTGCTGGGCTAAGTAAAGCAGAGCAGTTTAAGCACAGCCTGGAGCAGCCAGCCCCCAAAAAACCCAGAACGCATCAATTCAACCAAGCCGAAGATATATCCCTAGCTGACCCACAAATATAAGAAAATAAACGCTTTGATCAGAAGATGTGAATGTTTGTTACACAGCAATTTGTGGTCAGGTCAATAGCTACCTGATATGCCACCATTCATTCTCCAATGAGCAATTCAAGTAACACCTTGTTGGAGTTCAAATCCTATCTTCCTCATTCAATAGCTCTGCTACTTCAGGCAAACATGAGTTAGTCTCAGTTTCTTCCCTCTCTAACATGAAGCTAGCACCACAGTTATGGTTGTAAAAGTGAAGTCCACTTACTTAGGGAAGGTGACACGTGGTAGAAACTCAATTCTTTTTTTTTTTTTTTTCCCCAGTATCGGGGATTGAACTCACAACCACCTGCTTGCAAGGCAGGTGCTTATGCCGCTGAGCTATATCCCTAGCCCTGGAAACTCTACTCTTGTTTCCTTTCCCCCTTTCTCCTACTCTAGGAAGCCTTCCTGGAAGTGTTGGAATAGAAGCAATTAATGTTTGTTCTACTGTTTCTCCTTTTTTGTATAAGAAATTGAATTCAAGCCCTTAGTACTAAGCTGCATCCCTTACCCGATTGTTTGCTGGCTTGGTCTGGTCTGGTCTGATCTGGTTTGGTCTGGATGGTTTTGAGACAGGGTCTTTCTAAATTGCTAAGTTACCCAGGCTGTGCTTAAACTTGTGATCCTACATGATATATGTAGAATAATTATATACTAATCCAAAAATTTAATCCATCTCAAATTTTTTTTTCAACACAAGCTTTGGAGGCAACTGTGGTAGATTGACAACTGGTGGTCAATATAAATATCAGCTGATCTGAATCAGTGTGGTGCCGAGTGTAGATGATCCACCTGAGAAATGTTGCCAACATAAAAAGGAGACCTAAAAAGGAAGAGTCATTACTGTTGTTGGTTGGTGCTGTTGGTTCTCCTGTTGTAATGAGTTCTCTTGGAGAAGCTTGTTGAGCTTCCTTCCTGAGATGAACTTGGCTGTTGTCATCATCAGAGGAGCTTGAGACCTTGTTGAGAGTGGCTGCAGTTCACTTTGGGGGAGCTCTGGTCCTTACCTTGAGCATTGCCTCCTGGCTCTGGAAGGGAAGATGGTGAGCTGCTCAGTCTCCAGGAGAAGTTTGTTATTCTGGCTTTCTGATGTGAACTCAGCTGTTCTCATCACTGGAGGACTTCAGGACTTCATTGTTGCCAAGGATGGCTGTGGTACTTTTGGGGAGAGGTCTGGTTCGGTGAGTATTGCCTCCTAGGTCCAGTAGAAATCCCTCAGCCTACTGGCACAGATCCTCTACCCCACTGGCACAGGCTTTCTAGCTTCCACCGCTGACAGTTTGGCCTTTCCAGCCCGGATCTGTGAAACAGACTTGCATGAATCATTGTCGTGGGCTCTAGGCCTCCAGTGGTACTTATGAGAGGCATTGTCATGGGCTCTAGATCTTCAGCTGAACTTGAAAGAATATTGCCATAGGATCCAGCCCTTGTCTTAATTCTCTAGGTCTTTAGTGTGTGGACAGATTTCCTACACTTTCTTTGTATTTGTCTCATTGAGTGACTATAATAACATAATAATATAAATTATGTATCCTATATTGTCTTGTTCTCTTTGCAATCCTTGACTACAACAGGGACATTCAAACCATAACAGTGGATACACATAAATTCCCAGAGATGGTAGATAGGCAGAGAGATAGAGTGCATTCTCCCAGTTCAGAACTTGAAATATCATTTCCCCAGATGAAACAGTGGTGGAAATACAGATCATGTTCACCATTGATGCGCTGCCCCAGGGTCTCTTTCAATCCTCCCAGGTTTCCACATATGCATTTCAGTGGCCACACAGAGAAATGAGTACAAGTCAGGTCCATTCAAGCCTAGGAACGAGCTAGATATCCCTGTTCAACTGTGAGCCTTGAGGGATATGACTTTCAGGATACAAGAATACCAGAAACTAAACTACTTTGAAGGGATGGTAAAGAGCTGATCTTCATGTCTACATCTTCCACAGAAGGAAGTAGGGAGAAACAAGAGGTGGAAATTATTTTTTAACCTCTCTTTAGAGTTCCAGACCAGAAAGTTCACTTTTATTATATAAGTAGTTGGGGGGAAAAATCCCAATTTCAGAACTTCGTTTACAGTAGCCCTAGTTGTAGCCCCTCCATGGGACTGGCAAATGACCCCAAACAAGCTGAAGCCAATATACAATCTGTAAACACACCTTCAAAGAATAGTCACAGGTGGGTATTGCAATAAACATGCATTTGCAATTAAAAAAAAACACAAAAATTCAGAGAATCCACAACAATGACAAGGAAAACAGAGTCAGTCACAAATGTCTCAGACGCTGGATGTTCAAATGAAAAATGCAAAATAAATATGCCATTAAAAAACATATATATGCACATGCATATACATATAGGCTCATCTGTAGACCTATATTAATACAGATAAGTAAATAGAAAGACAGTAGTATCAATAAAGGTGCAAGGAATTGGCAACAATAGTAAAGTACATTTGGAAAGAAATCAAAAATATTTTCTAGAGAATTTTAATAATTAATAGCTGAAATGAAATATGTAATGAATGAGGGAAATTAGAAATACCTGAAGAAGTAATTAGCGAATTGGAAGACAAAGTGGGGTGAATTAGTTACCAGATTTCCCAGAGAAGCAAACACGATAAAAAAGTAAAGATAGAACAAAAGAGAAAGAAATAAAGAAACAAAGAAAAGAGGAAAGGAGAAAATGGGGAAAAGAAAAAGTAGCTGGGTATGGTAGTACACTCCTGTAATCCCAACATTCTGGGAAGTTGAGGCAGAAGGATTGCAAATTCCAGTTCATCCTGGACAATTTAGCAAATTAGCAAGATCCTATCACAAAAGAAAAATTAAAAATAGGTCTAGGGATGTAGCTCAGGGCGAAGTCCCTAGATTCAATCTTCCGTACCACAAAAGAAAGAAAGGAAGGAAGGAAAGAAGGAAGGAAGGAAGGAAGGAAGGAAGGAAGGAAGGAAGGAGAAGAAGAAAGAAAGAAAGAAAGAAAGAAAGAAAGAAAGAAAGAAAGAAAGAAAGAAAGAAAGAAAGAAAGAAAGAAAGAAAAGCAGAAAGAAAGGACTTAATAGAAAGTAGAGCCTAGCTGGATGGCACAGTCACCGGGTGTGCCATTGAAGGGTATATTTTGTCTCTAGTCCCTTCAAAGCTGTCTCTGTCTCCATCTCCGTCTTTGCCTCCCTCTCCCTCTATCTGTGTCTCTCCCTATTCCTCTGCCTCTACTTTTCACTGTCTGTCCTGGATGCCATAAGGTGGGCAGCTTTCTTCCCCCACGCCCTTCCACCATGACGTTTCGACCTTTCCCTGGGTCTAACAGCAATGGAACCAGCCAATCACAGACAGACCCCTCTGAAACGATGAGTTAAAAATAAATCTTTGCTCCTTTATGTGGAAAACATTCTTGGATATATCTGCCACAGTGGTGGGAAGCTGATTAATACACCTCCCTTCCAATTTTTGAAACATATAATGAATTGTGGTAGATTACAAGTACCAAAATAGAGTGAGATTAATGAAATTAGTTCTAATGTTCTGTAGAATATGTTCTTTTATTGACTTCAGTAGAACATAAACAAGAACTGTCAAAGCAATAAGGTTAGTGAGTGATGAGAAGAAATTAGCCAAACTCTTTCAAAATGAAAGGAGAGAGGAGAAGTCTATCTCAACTGAAAAGTGGCTAAGATCCAAGGTAAATAGCTGGCTTCACAAATTATCCTTTTCAGTTTCAATCTTTTGTGCTTTAATCATCTGCGGCCTTGGACATGATTCTTACCATAAAGACAAGGACTCTGAATGAACACAAGGATACTGAATATGAAATACTATTATATTTAATATTATAATATCATTAATGGAACTGAAGCCAGAGATCAAGGACTTTTCAAATTAATTATTTCTTGTTCCAACACATACCATGAAATAGTCTTTCTAAATCACAATGACACATCTCAACATTTTCTTTATTAAGATAATTCTATTTTATTTCTTGGATCTCTGCAGTCTAAGCAAGTTTTATAAATATTTAATGGAAAAATTAGGCAAGAAAATGCTGGGTAATGCATGAATAGCAACCAGTGAGCTAAGAGAAAGCTACACTGAGAACTGGCTTTAGGATCTTCTTGTATTTAGTTCACAAATTTCTACACATCATTTGTGAGAAGATTAGTAACCTTGTAAGTGTGCTAAAAGCCTGTGTGTCCTTTTCCATTTGCATTTTCCATTTTATTGTGAGATCACTGCTTGAAATATGCTCATTAAGTTCTCTCTGAATTGAGTCTTTATGGTTAGCAATAAAAATTAGGCAAATTATTGATGACTTTCCCATTAATGCTTTCCCCAGGGTGGGCCTCTAATTGCTTGAGTGACTGATCATTTGCAGAAGCACTTTCAGTTCTTATTTTGGTCTCCAAAGAAATCTGAGGTGCATGAATATGATCCACGCTCCTTGGAAATACTTGAGGCATATTTACCCATCCACACAGAGTATCATATTATGTGGCAAGAGATGGTGTCCATTCTGAGAGGCATAGCTTCCTTAGCAACTGTTATGATTTGTCTGATGCCCCCTGCAAGTCTCATAGAATCATGGTTGTGGCTGAATCTAGCATTTGTGATTGGTCTGTTGTCTAGTGTTCAGATTGGTGGTATGAATGTTACACCCACTCAGGGGTGGAGCTAGCATACCGTATAATGATGGGAAGAAGGTGTGTCTTTCTCTTTTTGCTCTGTTTGCCCTTGATGTTTGCAGTGGCCATGAATGGCTGCCACGCCATGCCACCCTACCTTGGAGCCAGCTGAGTATGAAAGAACCCCCAAAACTGTAAGATAAATAAACCTTTCCTTCCCTAATTTTGATGTCAAGTATTTTGTCTCAGCAACTACAGAAAAGTACAAGACAGACACTTGTAGAATGTATTAGTTGGCCTTCACTTTGCTGACCCCAAAACCTACCAACAATTTAAATGGGGAGAGGTTTGATTTGGCTTATGTTTTAAGGGAATTCAGGCCAAGGTTAGCTGGTTCCAAAGCAGAAACATCATGGAAGAAGGACATAGTGGAGCAAAGCTGCTTTGTTCACGACAGTTGGAAAATACAGAGAAACTGTGAGAAAGTGACAAGGAACCAGGCACAGTAGCTAAGGCCAACCTCCATATCCCACCAAGACACCCAGTTCTGTGTTACTAATTCCACCAGGTGGATCCCAAAGCAAATCAACCCACCTTAACCACCACTTGGAGCATTTATGAATATATTTTCTGAATTCCAAGAAGGGACTATGAACATTAATCATGACACTTAACAGATTAGTAAAGCTCTGGGCATGTGTGTGTATGACTGACATGTAAACCACCTGTCAAAGAAGGGAGACCCACCCAGATGTGGGTGGCGCCAACCAATAGGCTTGTAGACTGGGTGACTAAAAAGGGAGAGAAGGAAGTCTACCTACCTTTTTTTGGTTCAGAGACTCTCCAGTTTTTGCCATTGCCGTTAGATATCAGTTTCTATTTTCTGAAGGTTTGTAGTTTGAGATTCCTCAGCCTTCAAATGAGACTCTGGCTTTCAGACACAACTCAGAGAGGTGACTCAGCAAATGAGCTTCCAACTCTTTAACCTTTCAGTGTTACATGAGGTACTCAGTTGCTAACCTTGTTTGAACAATGAGCAAGGAACTTTAAGTGCACTATTCAAAAGGCAAGGAAAAGCAGCTACTTTTACTGGAGATCACAGGTAGTTGCACTCAAAGCAAGTCCACGTGTCTTAGTTACTTTTCTCTTTCCTGAGACAAAATATTCAACATCCAAAGTTAAAAGAGGGAAGGTTCTGCCGACCCATAGTTTGTAGAGGTTTCAGTCCATAGTCAAGTGGCTCTAAGACATGTGGGACAGGAGAGAGGCATCACAAAGGAGAAACAGTTCATGGCAGGCAGAAGATCACAAAGCAAGCAAAAAACCTTAGCCGTTTCTTTCCATCCCTTTGATGCTCCATCCAGGCTACTGGGATTAGAGCAATGCCAAACCAATCAGTGGACTGATTTAGCAGTCACACACCCTTAATCCCAGCATCACACACTCGAGATTCAGCCACCTCTGAAAAAGCCCCACCTATGCTTGCATGAAGTTGTAGGGGGATCTAAACACAAACCATAACAATGAAAGGTATGGCACAAACAAAAAAATGGTGCCAGGGTGATAGGAAGGCAAAAGCAGTGCCCACAGATCACAGTGTACTGCACACAGCAACAGCCTCAGATAAATCAGGCTTTTGGAATTGAACAGATAGATATGCACCTTAGCCAAGGTGCCTCTAGGTATGATTGACAGAAATGACTGACAGGGTTCTGTGCTATCCTGAGAATCTCTCAACACCCATGCCGATCCCAGAATTCACTCTGATCTTAATTATTTTCATGATATGTGGTACATATTTATAAACCTTTAACGAGGTTTCAGTAGAGTGAAAGTAACTGAAGATTCTGCTAGGAGATTCACTGAACATGTACTTTTGCCTAGAGCATCGATGATGAACCTTCTGGACTTTTCAATGACCCAAACTGCCTGCGGCATGGTGCCATAGGTTCACCACTGGCCTAGAATATCAGATATCTCCTGAGTTATTGCTGTGTGATTTTGTAGCTCTCTTTGGACATTGGAATGGCCATGGGATGTGATTAAAATTACATGAGTAGAAGGAAGTGATTCCTCAGCTCCATTGTCTCTAAACCTACTCTTGCTAGATCTGCCAGCCTTCCAGGGCATAAGCAACCATTTTGGATTCTTCTACCTCTGAGCCTATAGACAACCATTGGGACTTTTCTGGTCCTGTATACCTACCTAATAAATTCTTCATATATATATATATATATATATATGATTCTATAATATATATATATATATGATTCTATAAATATAAAATTTTATATTTATTAATTTAGAATTTATATAAAATTATTAATATATAAATTATGTATTAATTTATATAAATATAAAATTATATATATATATATATATATATATATATATATATATATATTTGATTCTGTTCCTCTAATGAACCCTAACTAATACATGGAGAACACAAGCCTCCTGCACTTATGTGTTTCTGTTCTTGGTGCAGATGGACAGGTAGTTCCTTCAAACGAAATGCTTTCTGTGAAATATCTCCCAGGGGATGCTCACAGGTAACTAATTGCTAGGATCATCAGCCCTAGCCATTTCCCTTCTGAAAGCATCACTCTCAACTTGATTGTTTAATTCTCAAAATGCCTTCAAGTGATGGGGAACTGTGCCATTTCACTTGCAAAGCTGATTGCAAATTATTTTCTGATTACAGATTTATTTTGTTTGTGACAAAATGTTTCCCACTAATTGCTCAAATAATCTTGTAAGAACTTGCCATTCAACCCCTCATTTATTAACCCACTGTAGTTTCTCTCTAATCTCTGTTTTCATGTTTTTATTTATTTTAAATACCTATTTACAGGATCATTAATCCTCATCAATATTATCTGGAAGGCTTGGACAACTAGCAGAGCTGTTACTGCAAAGAAAACCACACAGTCAAATAAACTGCACTGGAGCTGCTTTCATGTTTGCCAAGGTGTCCTTCTAGGAACACAGGTAAAAACCTCTTAGCCTGATCTCCAAAGGGAAGGGAACTATCCATTCTTTGTTTGCTTTTATCCAGAAATAAAATTAAAATTTTCCAGCTTTTTCATATCTAACTGCCACAAATGTATAGAACATGTTATGCTTCAGGTACAAAAATGTCTCCCAGTGTTCATTGTATTGTAGGATTGGGCTCTGGAGAAGTGATCGGGTCCTGAGAGATCTAACTGCACCATTGATCATTTGATAGCCTTCTTAGGAGAGGACGGGGACAGGAGATGGGGCCTGGGTGAAAGGAGTGGACATGGTGTGACCTTGGGAGCTATATCTGGTCTCTGTCCCTCACCTCTGTCCCTCTTTCTCTCTGTTTCCTGAAAGTAATGAGATGAGCAGCCTGCTTCCCCCCACCCCATGCCCTTCCACCGTATTTCTGCCTCTTTACAAGTCTAAAGCAATGGAACTGACCAATCACGACTGAAGCCATGAACTGAAAAATCTTTCTTCCTTTAGGTTTCTTCTTTCTCAGGTATTTGGTGACACCAACAAAAAACTAACGCAGAGCGTGAAGACACCACTCAGGAAATATTCCTTAAGTTTCCATCAGTATTCATAGATGAATAGTCTGTTTGAGCTACTGTGAAGCAGGAACACAATATATACAGACTCTCAGAGCAGAAAACGTTGATAACAGAAGTGGTCATTCATAGCTCATTCATACCAAGGGAGGAAACTGAGGCCAGGGGCATCCAAGATTCTGCACCAGAGTGGACCAAGTTGGGGCCGGTAAAGGGAAGCCCACTGCAGCCCAGACACTTCGGTTCAGCTCTATGCCTGAGACTCTTTTTCTTCTCTTGCACTTGAGCTGGAGGGAAGTGGTGCTGTACATGCACTCTCATTTTTCTGGGAGCTTGCCAGCAATTACAGAAAATAATTGACTTTTTCTAAGCACTCACTGTGGAGATGACAAAGTTTTATTCCTTTAAATGCTGCTAAAGGTTAAAATTCATCATGCCAGCACCTAAAGAACTGTCTTAGAGATTCTTTTATGGAGATCTGGACAAATGTCAGTCCAGGATAAGCCCTAAAAGACCCTGTTAACAGTTCCTGTCCCCAAAGCAGTGCTCAGCAGAGGCAAGGAGCTCAGGGTTTTAGTTGAATAAGTGGCTGCATGGCTATTTCTTTGGGCTTTGTTATGAGAGTCATTCTCAAGACTTTTATCTGACTAATTTTTCCAGCTCTGCTTGGCCAAAGTTCATGTCAAGTTGACCTTAATTCATGTACCTTTTTGGACATACTTTAGGCTCAGCTACATTAACTCTTCCTTCCTGGTGGTCTCCTGTATTCGCTGTAAGTCCCCTTTTCTGGATCTGGCAGGGAATTGCCTATAATTACCCTTAATGTACTCCTGGAGCAAAGATGTGCACGTTAAGAGCCAAAATAGAAGGTTAACTACAAACTGTGCAGTAATGCAATTACCTCCCAATTATCCCTTTCAGCGCTGAGGGGATGAATAGGAGACATTAAGCCCAATTCTGCAGTAGAGTCCTTGGTTACTGAGGCTGAGTGGAGGCTGGGAGGGGCAGAAGGTGGGGAAAAAGTAAGCTGGCAGCTGTGGATAATGAGTACCAGGGAATGTTGGCAACTTCTTACTGGAATGATTCTTTTTGGATTTAGTTTGAATTCTTCTGGTTGTTGAACTCTGCTGACAGGGAGCTGGTTTACAAGCGTCCCATGTCTATTTGATCTGACCCTGTACTTAGCAATGGCCTTGTGCAGGGTTCTGTTTAGAGGAGCGCTTTCCCCTGGAAGTGCTTATCTCAGTTATGTTGAGATGGCTGAGATCAGATGTTTGTTCAACATGAGTCAGTCAATTTGGGGCTGGGATGTCTGGTGAGAATCCTGTTCAGGATGGGCTTTTCCTGCAAAAACAGGCAGACTTGGAAAAGCTGGTTGCTAAGGGAGCCTGAATGTGAAGCCAAGAGGAAGGATGCTACGCACAGGGAGATAAGACCAGCATCTCCGAGCAAGACCCATCCGGAGGAGGCTGGTGCTCCTCTCAGTCTTGGATGAGGCACAGGAACTTGGACATGATTTCAGGAAACAGTGAGAGCCAGAGAACCCAGTTCATCTGTGTGCCAGCTTCACCAACACCCACATCCTGCTGGTGTCACATTTCATCACCAGGACTTCAGCAGCTGTGTCAAGCAAACCAGTATCCAATCTGTCACCTTTAGGTTTTAAATCCTCCCTTGTCTTTTTCAGTTGATCAACAGACGTCACTCAGTGTGTGTGTGTATGCACACGCACAGGCACAGGTTACTGGGAGTCAAACCTGGGGCTTTCGCACTGGGTCACATCTCTGGTTCTTTTTTGTTGTTGTTGTTTTCTTAATTTTTCCACAGGGTCCCAAACTGCCCAAACTGGACTTGAACTTTCAATCCTCCTGCTTCAGCGTCCTAGAGTGCTGGGATAACTACACCTACACCCAGCTAATACACATCATTCTTACTCTAAATTATATCTCCTGTAATAATATTGACTGTACACATTTCAATTGCTGCATTAAAGCCATCCGAAGCCTCAGGGGCTTGTGCCAGGAATTTTTCACTGTATTTCACAGTCTGCAGCTTGTCTGGGATTAACCACCTGGGTCTCTCTCAGGTGGTTGTGGCTGCAGTCCCAAGAGCTTACCTGGGTGCAGTGTCTGAGCTGGCTTGTTCCTGTGGCCAGCAGACAATGCCAGCTATCATGTAGGATCGCAAAAGCCCTGCATGTGTGGCCTCTGCCTTCAGTCTGGGCTTCTCTCAGCCTGCCAGCTGGGTTCTAAGATGTAGTGTCCCAAGAGCACACATTCCGAAAGACCCAGCTAAGGCCACCAAACCTCTCACAGCCTAGTCTCTGACAACCTGATATATCCCTTTTGCCCCATCCCACTGGTCTGATAGGTCACTAAGGCCAGCAAAGATTCCAGGCTCCAAGGGACTTCTTGGATTCAGTGCCTCCCGCTGAGTGTGCAGGGGTGGGATCCTGGCCTTCAGCATCATCACAGCTGCTCCCGCCCCATAGCAAGCCATCTTCACCAAGGCTCACTGGTACTACGTGTTAGACTTCCGGTGACTTGCTCGGGAGGACAGCCCCATACTCATGTCAGGTTCCCAGCCCCCACCCTGCTGGTTTCTCTAGGTCTCTCTAATCTGAAGGCCCAGCATCCTTTGCAACAGAATACTGAGGAGTGACATCCACAAGGCCAAATTCAATGAAAATAATGATGATTGACACAGAGAAGTCCTGAAATGGGAGTTATCAGTGTGATTAAGGCATCTTGAGTTGTATCACAGGGAAGGGTGATAATGAGTGGGGAGCAGGCGATCAATCACTTAAAGAGATTAGTATCTTTAGTAGGCAGGAAGTGAAGGTAACAGGACCCAAAGGAAAAGTTATATGAATTGTCAAGGACCAGAAATAGGAGACAAACCCTGTAGGTTAAGAGCAAATAAATGACAGACTGAGTAGGAGGTGAGGTGCAAAGGTGGGAGATGGCATTAGGTGACAATTCCTTAAGTTCACAGGACTAAGGCATAGGCAATGCGCTCTCAGCAGGCACCAAACATGAGACATGAAGATGGGCAGAGCGGTCTGCATGCATGGCCAGATAAACAACTCCACCAGGCCTGAGATCCGGGTGGGGGAAGCCTGAGCTGATGCCAAACAGGCTGGACAAACTCCGCAGAGTGGAAATACCGCCATCACGTTCCCCGTGAGATGGAAGGCAGCCGGCTCCATCAGGCCCTTTCCAAATGCAGCCCTGGGAAGCCGCAGCTGCGGCTGTAACAAAGCCAGCAGTACCCCAGATAAGCCTGTTAAACTAAAGCTGGTTGCTCCATTCTGTCACATAATTTATTGCTCAGTATATATCGATAATACAATTGTCAGCCCGGCAGACATTTCCCATTTTAATAGTTCGCATGAGATACCACATTATTGATCCTCCACCACTAAATAAAAAACTCGTTTGTCAGGAGAACACGAAATGGCTTTCAATGGATACAGCCAAACACCTGCTACTAGTTAGGGATGAAAAATAACCACCCTGCCACTAGGGCATTTGGAAGCAACCTTGTAATGCTCCAGTCTGGGGAGCTGCAGGCCCCTTGGAAAACAGAAGGTAGCTTCTCCAAATGTCCGAAGGCTGAGATTCCAGCAAGACTGAAAAAGCTGCCGCTGACCAGGCATTTTAATTTCTGTCCTTTATCCTACATCCTCCTCCTGGCAGTGTAGTCGTGCATGGGTTAACTCTCTAGGAAGCAGGGCACACAATACCTGGCATCAGTTCCTCACTTAGCAGAGTCTTATGACAGCTAGGTCAGGGCTGGCACCACTGCTCACTGAGATTAGGGCTCTGGGTTAATATCTCTGCCATTTTCTTGATTTTTCCCACATGGCCCTAAGAGACCTGCCAGTTAGCAATCATGGACATCCACCATTTTAGAGGAGGCCATCTGAGAGAGCAGAAATATGGTTTGGGTCACAGAAGCCTCCACAAGGCTTGTGTGATAGGCTTGGTATCCATTGCAGCAGTGTCAGAGGCGGGGCCTATAAAGGTGACTGGATCATCATGGTTCCCACTTCCTCACTGATTAATCGATCCACTGATTGATTCACAGCTGAATGAGATACCAGGAGACAGCACCTAGCTGGAGTAAGTAGGTGACCACCAGAGTGCCTTCCAAGGGTGTATCTTGACCCTGCCCCTTTTAGCTATCTCTCTCGCCCTGTTTCCTAGCTGCCATGGAGTATGAAGTTTTCCTCTACTACACCCTTCTGCCGTGCTGTCTCTGCCCCAACAAAGGCCTAAAAGCAATGGAACCAGCTGGCCATTACCTAAAACCTCTGAAACCGAGAGGCAAAATAAATCTTTCCTCCTTTAAATCATTATTCTCAGGTATTTGACTATAGCAATTAAAAGCTGACTAACACAATGAGTGACTTAGGTTACTTACTAAGGTTCTAGGAAAGAGCAGAGAAGCTGAAGCACACCTGCTTGGCTTCAGAATGAGTTTTCTCGTCATGCTTGACACCATTGCTTTATCAAATTCACCAAGGCTACCCGACCCTTGGGCAATGAACCCATCCATTCTGGTCCATGGTCTATTAGAACTGGATCCACAGAAGCAGGTGAGCGGTGCTTGAGCAAACAAAGCTTGTGCATTCTTCCCAGCTGTTCCCATGCCTCCCGTGGCCACCTGAGTTCCGCCTTCTCTCAGAGCAGCAGCCATTAGATTCTCATAAGCATTCATTCGACCTACGGTGTCCTGGGCAGGCTAGAGACCCAGATTGCAGGCTCCTTTGAATCATCCTGAAACTATCTCTCCCCACTTCCCACCCAGTTCTTGGCCAAAATTTCTCCCATGACACTGGTCACTGGTGCCAAAAAATTTGGGGCCACTGAAATCAATCATCTGTGGGCTTAATGTGCCCCCTCAAGATGCACACATTGAAATCCTCACATCCAGTACCTCAGATTATGAAGATTTGAAGATAAGATCTTTGAAGACTAAATAGAGTCAGTAGGGTGGGCCCTGGCCCAATATGACAGGTGTCCTTCTGAGAAGAGGAGACCAAGACCCAGTCTCGGACAGAGGGAGGACTCTGTGAGAACACATGCAGAGGACGAGGACGCCATCTCCAGCTGCAGGGGAGAAGCCTCAGAAGACCCCAACCCTGGTGATGCCCTGCTGTCCAACTCCCAGCCTCCAGAATTGTGAGATTGTTAACTTCTCTCTCTCACCTAAACATCTTCTCTCTTCAGAACTTGCCCCTCCCAATACCCACTTACATTTTTTCTTCAGTCATTAAATTGATTTTCAACAGCTTTGTTGAGGTATAATTTACACACAATTCACTTATTTATTTAAATGGTACAATTGGATGAGTTTTAATATGGGTATTATTGTGAACCCAGAATCATATTCAACCAAATAAACATATCCTGCAATCCCCAAAGTCTTTTTGAGCCCCACCAACAATTCCTCTTTCCCAGTCCCCGCCATGAACATCGGCAACCTGCTTTCGGTCTCAATTGATTGTGTGAGGAGAAGAAAACCCACCCAATAAATCAAATGAAAAGGGCCAGAGGCTGCTTAGAAAGCGAATTTTATAGCTCACCTGGACACAATGAGACTACTGCACGTGACTGAGTCCGCCCCAGGTGCCTAGCACCGAGCTGTGTTTATTTTCTCACAGCATCCTTGTGTGGCCATAAGATCTTTGTCACCAAAGACACCATACAGAAAAGGTAACTGAGGCAGGGCATGCTTAAAGAATTTGTCTACTCCAGGTGGCTGAGTCAGAGATCACAAATCCAAAACCAGCCCAGACAACTCAGTGACTTGGCAAGATCCTCAAAATTTAAAAATAAATGAATGAATGAATAAAGGCTTGGGAATGTGTTCAGTCCCCAGCATTGAAAAAATAATTATCCAAGGCTTCTCACGATGACGCAATGTTCAACCAATGAGCAATTATTTAAACATCTAGTGCTCTGCAGGCATAACTGAATCCAGAATGTAATTAGATTCACGGGAATGTGGAGTTTGGGAATCAGAAAGGCTTCAGAGGCCATTGACTTTCTCAGATGTGTAAATGGGAGGCTGTATGCTCTGTTCTTTCTTTCAGTCTCTGGGAAGAAAGCCCAGGGTCCTTGATTCTTACTTGTGTCCTTTAGAGAACAGGACTAGGAAGGCTGGGTCCCTGCTGCTGGGTCCCTGTTGGGTCTGATGCAGTCATCTTACGTTGAACTGAAGCATAGGTTTGCCAAATAGATGCCCATGCCACAAACTACCCGCTATGGTTTCAGTCTCAAGAATTTATAAGATACCCCCAGGATGAAATCATGTAACTATGGAACTGTATAATACTTAATTTTTACACTCAGCAACCCAGAATGTGTAACAAAATAAAAACAGTTCACATACTTTTCCATTTCTCAAATAGCTATTTCTTCGTGTCTATAAACCAGTCATCCCTTTCCATTTCTCTTGCAGCTTCTCGTGAGTATTAGATGGAATGCTGGCCGAAATGCAGAAAATATAACTGTGACGCAGAAGGGGAAGAAGAAAACTTGCTATTTCTCGATGGTTCTTAGCTCATAAACGCACAACATTTTCACTGGAGGGACTGCACATATGCTCAAAAATAGACATGCAGACTTGCTGATTAAGTTAATCACAAGAAGAATGTTGATCCCTGGTGACTGATGCACAGCAACTCTGCTTTAAAAGATGCTGAGGAGACAGACTTTTAGGATAATAATAGTAACAATGCACCACGTTACTCAGCTGGGGCCAGGCGGACCCCCCAGCCTGGCAGACAGAAGCAGAAGTTGGTTCACTTGTCTCGTGGCCTCCTCCACAGTCAGCAGTGAAGCAGCCTCCTCTCTCCTTGTGGTCACTTTTGGCCCTGTCTTTCATCGCATGAGGACTCTACAATCCCACTATATACTTAGCAATGCAAAGCCATCTCTCTGCCTCAAGCTCCTTAGCTAATCGCATCTACAGAGGGCCTTCCGCCACTCGCTG